GGAGCGCGGGGCCCCCGCCCGGCGGCGCTGGGAGCCGGGGAGAGGGCGCTCTGTCCTTCCCCAGCCCGCACAGCGCTGTCGCACATGCAGATGAGGAGAACAAATGAGCAGCAGGAAGGAGAAGCGGGGCGGCCGCGGGCAGGAGGCCGGCGAGCCCGTGCACACACATCCCCACCCGCAGCAGCCACACCTGTGCAGGGATCCGCGTGCGCCCCGCGGCGGAGCGAGCCGTGACCTCTTTCCAGAAGCCCGGCCCCGCCGGCCCGCGGGGGAGGGAAAGGGCCCGGTGCGGCGGGAGACGCTCACCTTGTCTACAGGGTCAAGGAGAGCGGGGCACCAGAGCCAAGGACCCAGACGAAGGGGATCGGACTCCCTCCGGTGTGGAGGCGGGCGTTTGTGTTTGTTTTGGATGAGGAGGCGGAGAGTCCAATTACCCAATTATCTACTGTACACAGACCCAGTTCGTGACGGGCTGGCTCAATAGCTTGGCTGTGGGGGGGGGGGGGGGGGGGGGGTGTTATCATACGGTTTGACTTCATAGAAACAAGGTATGTGACTGTGGCACACGCAGACCCGACACGGGTACCTCCAAACATAAAGTACACACCGACCTGCACGTGCATAACTTCCACACCTTCCTCCTTGCCCTCCCCCTGAAATAGACACATCCATGGAGAAACTGACAAATGCACAGGTATGCGGACACATAACCAGAGACAACAACATAGATAGACACATAGGCATGCACGCTGTCTCTCGCAAACACACCACCACCCGCACCACGACGACCACCACCATCACCTCCACCACCACCATGACCACCACCACCACCACTATGACCACCATACCACCACCATCACCACTATGACCACCACCACCATGACCACCATGACCACCACCACCACCAGCACCAGCACCACCACCACTGCCACCACCAGCACCACCATACCACCACCATCACCATACCACTACCATGACCACCACTATCACCATGACCACTACCACCACCATGACCACCACCACCACCACCTCTATTACCACCACCACCACCACCATGACCACCACCATGACCTCCATTACCATCACCACCACCACCACCATGACCACCACCACCACCACCATACCACCACCATCACCATACCACTACCATGACCACCACTATCACCATGACCACTACCACCACCATGACCACCACCACCACCACCTCTATTACCACCACCACCACCACCATGACCACCACCATGACCTCCATTACCATCACCACCACCACCACCATGACCACCACCACCACCACCATACCACCACCATCACCATACCACTACCATGACCACCACTATCACCATGACCACTACCACCACCATGACCACCACCACCACCACCTCTATTACCACCACCACCACCACCATGACCACCACCATGACCTCCATTACCATCACCACCACCACCACCATGACCACCACCACCACCACCATACCACCACCATCACCATACCACTACCATGACCACCACTATCACCATGACCACTACCACCACCATGACCACCACCACCACCACCTCTATTACCACCACCACCACCACCATGACCACCACCATGACCTCCATTACCATCACCACCACCACCACCATGACCACCACCACCACCACCATACCACCACCATCACCATACCACTACCATGACCACCACTATCACCATGACCACTACCACCACCATGACCACCACCACCACCACCTCTATTACCACCACCACCACCACCATGACCACCACCATGACCTCCATTACCATCACCACCACCACCACCATGACCACCACCACCACCACCATACCACCACCATCACCATACCACTACCATGACCACCACTATCACCATGACCACTACCACCACCATGACCACCACCACCACCACCTCTATTACCACCACCACCACCACCATGACCACCACCATGACCACCACAATCACCACCATGACCACCACCATGACCACCACCACCACCTCCATTACCACCATCACCACCACCATGACCACCACCACCACCATGACCACCATCACTAGCACCACCATGACCATCATCACCACCACATGACCACCATCACCACCACCATCACCATACCACCACCATCACCATACCACCACCATGACCATACCACCACCATGACCACTACCACCACCATGACCACCACAATCACCACCATGACCACCACCACCACCACCACCATACCAGCACCATCACCATACCACTACCATGACCACCACTATCACCATGACCACTACCACCACCATGACCACCACAATCACCACCATGACCACCACCACCACCACCACCATACCAGCACCATCACCATACCACTACCATGACCACCACTATCACCATGACCACTACCACCACCATGACCACCACCACCACCTCCATTACCACCACCACCACCACCATGACCACCACCATGACCACCACCACCACCTCCATTACCACCATCACCACCACCATGATCACCATCACTAGCACCACCATGACCATCATCACCACCACATGACCACCATCACCACCACCATGACCACCATCACTAGCACCACCATGACCATCATCACCACCACATGACCACCATCACCACCACCATGACCATACCACCACCATGACCATACCACCACCATGACCATACCACCACCATGACCACTACCACCACCATGACCACTACCACCACCTCCATTACCACCACCACCACCTCCATTACCACCACCACCACCTCCATTACCACCACCACCACCACCATGACCACCACCATGACCACCACCATGACCACCATGACCACCATCACCACCACCATGACCACCACCACCACCATCACCACCATCACTAGCACCACATGACCATCATCACCACCACATGACCACCATCACCACCACCATCACCATACCACCACCATGACCATACCACCACCATGACCATCATCACCACCAGACCATACCACCACCATGACCATACCACCACCATGACCATACCACCACCATGACCATACCACCACCATGACCATACCACCACCATGACCATACCACCACCATGACCATACCACCACCATGACCATACCACCACCATGACCATACCACCACCATGACCATACCACCACCATGACCATACCACCACCATGACCATACCACCACCATGACCATACCACCACCATGACCATACCACCACCATGACCATACCACCACCATGACCATACCACCACCATGACCATACCACCACCATGACCATACCACCACCATGACCATACCACCACCATGACCATACCACCACCATGACCATACCACCACCATGACCATACCACCACCATGACCATACCACCACCATGACCATACCACCACCATGACCATACCACCACCATGACCATACCACCACCATGACCATACCACCACCATGACCATACCACCACCATGACCACTACCACCACCATGACCACTACCACCACGACCACCACCACCACCTCCATTACCACCACCACCACCACCAT